CGCCACAGATTGGTCTATGCATGGGAAACACTGGAGTTTAAAAACACAATGGAGCACTTCTTGTAGTACCACATGACATCACAAGGTGGAGTGTTTTCTGTCTGAGAGAAGAACTCAGCCTAAATATGCAGGGTTTGTGTATTAAACATGTGTAAATGAAACAAAACACCACTCCAGGTATATTTCTGATGAGGAAACAACATTGTAACATAGATCAGAAAATTGTGTAATATGGGCCCTTTAAATTAACTTTCTTTCTTAGTTTCTTTTTTAAGTAAATTGGTTTCAGTTTTATGTTTTCAGGGCTCCGACATCAGAGGCCACTCTAGGCAGCAGTCTCCAGCCAGAAATGCTACACAGTGCACCTTTAAATTCAATAGATGAACTTGTCTTACCAAACAAGACCAAATAAGCCAGTACAGATACAGCCTGTGGCTCCATCTTGGCTGTCTCTCTCTGTGCCAAATTATTTGCAGTCTTCTAGGTATTTCTCATTAATCCCTGTTTCTTTTTATCGGTTTCAACTGATCTGAAGGAGGGAAAGCCTATTATTATTTGCCGCCTGTGCTCCCCCCCTTTCCCTGACAATTATTGTGCATGTAAGAGAAGACCCTCTGAAGCCGTCAGTGATGTAACATTGGAGCAAGACGCACAGCATTAGCACAATTCAACTGTCTTTAACATAGCAAATATTTCCAGGCTGCACCAACCCTGTCATCTCACCTTACTAATTACATTGGAACAAGATTTATTTCTATTGTGTATTTTGCCAATCCTTGTATGCATTTGTATTCTGTGTGTTTTCTAGCCAGAGCTGCCTTCCCTGACAGGCTATTTCCTTTGAAGCTTGAGGCTGCTTCACCACACACACACACAAATTGCACAACAGGAATATACAGGTCGGGCATCTGGAATCACGGTTATAGGAACGGGCAGTGTCCTTGGGATAGCGAGCCGGTTTGATAAGGAGCCAAGGGATTCCTGAAATGGGAGTGGGTCGGACCAATCGATCTGGAGTATAAACCCTTAAGGCGGAGCTGAGGTGGTGCTTGACGCTGTGGTACAAGAGCACAATAGCAACTCCATTATTCTCATAATGATCCTGGATTCTCGTGACCAATTAGACACTACTATTCATTTGCATTGGTTCGACTTCAAAAACCAGCCATTGCAATTTCGCAAGAATGCTTTCAGGACATTACTGGAGAATGTGCATATTTAATCCCATTTGCTGCATAATTACTTCACATAATAACAGCTAATGGTGCAGCAGTGAGCTCTGTTTAGAGATTATTAAGTGTCATCTCGGGGCAGGTTTTTATTTTTGGCTAATTTATGCTGTCAAAATAAGATGGTACAACGCTGTTTGGTGAAATGGCACTCAATCATAACAATGGTTTACCTGAGCACGCTGCTTCATGTAACAGTTGACCTAGAAGTGCTTAAAAGTCGCCTATAAAACAATGTTATTAACCAGAGTTTTCTCTCACCTTTCCTGAAAATGCCATTAAAATCTACCCCTGACTATTTTCCTGCTAACAAGCTATTAAAGCAGGCAAAAACATAACCTTCCTGTCTTAAATAACTAATTACGAACTATCAAACTCATCCCTGGAACTTGCCCAAGTAAAAACATACTTTTTAGTTTTTCGTGTTGGGAGACCTGAGATGTAGCTGGATTCTACCATGGTGACCAAATGTCACGAAATACCAGGCACCTTTAAGGAAGATTCATATCATACAGGGTCACAGTTTATATTCTGGGATGGTCGAAGTCAATCAAGCTAATTTTGTATTGTAGTCTTTGCAGCGCTACTGAATATTTATATAGGAGGCAGAGCAGCAGTGATACCAACCATATGTAGAATATTTACTGAAAGAATCTACAGTAAATCATGTGTAATGCAGCAGTTTCTATATTCATTTGGATAAGGCACCATGGGCTCATTCAGACCCCACATGTATGTGGTCAAAAACCAAAAAGGAAACCAGTGAATTTAAGGTATATATAACATATATTTACCTTAACAGTAATTTTGGTGGACAAAATGTCTGTGTAGATAAATCTTCTTTGCAAATACCACATTGTTGAGTTTTCATGTCTTGACAGCCCATACCGATGCAGTGATACTGCTGATCTATTGTAGAACAATACATGTTTATTTTAGTGATGTACAGTATATTCCTCAGCATAAAGGTATTACTTTACTTTTCCCCATTATCAGTTATTCTTTATCTTAAAACTGCTGTTGGCAGTGTAAAAGCTAAATCATCACAGCTTGGCAAATAGATACACCAGGGGTCTCCAACCTATTTCCTCCGGTGAGCTACTTTTACAAAACTAAAATGCGGTCACAAGAAATTTAGCAAATATAAGAGCCACAGCCTTAGATGGGGTACAGTTATGCCTATAAAACATAAACCATTATTCATTTATTAGTGCACAAAGTTAGGCATCAAAATTATCCATTTACAGTGAATCAAATCTTGAAGTTATTCAACATAATACATGTAATTCAGAAATCCCTTGCCTAGCTACTTGGAAGGGGGTGGAGAGTTTACGAGTAGCTCCCAAGCTACAAGTTGAAGACCCCTGAGACACACAGACAAATGATGTAACCTCTATCTTGCACTTCCAAATATAGAACACTTTCCTGCCATTAGGTATTTATTTAATAAATTGCCTGTTAACTTTATGACTCATAATTTTGAGATGAACTGTGTAAAAATGAAACACCTTCAATAATCAAAGACAATGTAATAGACCCTGGGCATGCTTATTTGTAGACATGTCTTTTACGGTGAAAAAATAGACTGTGGAGAGCTAAAAATAAACAACACCAGTCGGCCTGCACATTTGGGACACTGATGCTAAAATAGATCTAAACAACTTCATTGGTAAAGACAAATGCCCAAGTATCAGACCCACCATCACTGTCTTCACTCCTGATACTATAATGACACAATACTCTTCTACTGTTGCAGATGTTTCCGCAGCAACTACAAGAACAGCACCTTACCCAGCATGCATTGTGAATGACTCGCGTCTGGCAATCCATTACTGTTACCAAGATGGCACCAGATCCAGGGTCCACCAATCGGTATTCATCTCACACACTCACAGGTAGGACAGTGCTGGAACTCACCGCTGGGACACACACACTCGCCTTATGTTGTTGATTGGCGAGCGCTGAGGTGCTGACAGTAATCTGGCCTCCACCATGAAGCAATGAAATATTACATGTGGAAGCAACCTGTTGTTTTCTGATATATTGTTGAGAGGCTTTTACTAATCTCATACCTGCTGGACAGAATACATAGTCTGTTTATGATACATTTCACCGGCATAAAGCAAAATGAAAATTACTGTAAAAAATGCTGCACTTGTAGTATAGTCTGTATAAGGATTGATCTGATTATAAGCAGTGTTGGGAAGTAACTGAATACTTGTACCAAAAATACATATTCTGAATACTAATTTGGAGTAACTGTATTCTGGTGCAGTTACTTTTTTATTTGGTGGTATTCATATAGTTACTTTCCTAAAATCAAATGAAATATGGCAGTACAACATCGTGTAATTTTGACTTTGATTGCACAGTATTTGTTAGAAACTAAGAAAACACAGCTCTTGCATCTTGGATGAGTCTTTTTTGTTTCTAATTAAACATAAGTTAATTAATAAAGTACAGAGCAACAAATACAAAGTTGTTTGTAATTACATGCCATGATTTTACACTATAATATAATGCAACTTGGTGTAAAAGTATTCTAAGTATTCAGAATACAGTACTCTGATTGGACCAGGTATCGAAATATGTTACAAAATACATTTCTTTATAGCCAGTTTCAGAAGTATTCTTCCTATCACTAACTATAAGTTCATGTTTTCACTAATAATAGACTGTATTTTTCCCTCTCACCCCACTGTGGCGCTGTGTTGTTGTACCGTATGATTTCAAGATGCGCCTGTTAAACCGATTTATTTATTTGTTTTAGACTACTACATGGGATGTGCCAATCATCTTTGCCCAACATGTATGAAAAGTACATTATTATCAATATCAGTTACCTCGACACTTTACTAAATGGACGACACTTTTGTTACTAGGCTAGTTTCCACAGAACATTAAACGAAATAAATATCGTTCCTTAAACAGGTATGATCGCATCTGTTGAGTCCACACATTGAAACGTGAAGGAAAAACTTCTCCCTATGTGTGCTCTGGTCTAGTGCATGGTTCAGGTAAAACCATGTGAGCTGCGGTTTTCTTGTGAATGAAGTTTATCCTGCACCAAAAGAAAGATGTCGCTAGAATTGTCTCTCAAACCCCGTGTGTACTCGTGCTTCGCCAGAACACAGTCAAAACAGCGTTGTGCACCTCTGTGTCCGGGCTCTCTCTCTCTCCCCCCGGTGTGCCTGCTGTGTGTGTGTCTGTGTATGTGTGTGCCTGCGTGCATAGGCTATAGGTAATAAGCTGCTCTGCCACTGCGCAACGATGGAGCTATCGCAGCGATGGAGATGACGCAAACAGACTCAGCTCTCCGAAAAAGTGTTTCAAGACGAACATGGCGGCAACTTAACCGCGGTCCTAGATGACAATGGCCACCAGGAGAACTGATTCGAAGCTTTCCCCCCAGCGACGGGACAGAGACACCAGGCTGCGTGCTTCACAGTGGCTCGTCGCTTTCCTTTAAGTCAATCTGCAACACAAACGGCGCAGCATCAGCAGCACCGCAACAGCTGGTCTACCCCGACCACACAGGACAGCGGATCTCGGGAGGAACGAGGGGGCATGCGGTCAAAGAGGACACCGTTTCCCCTCGGAGAGCCATGGAGAACCGGGATGCGACAGCGCGAAGCTTAATCTGTGCGGGCGCGTTAATTGGACCGTTTACAGGAGGAGAAGCGAGTGGAGTCCACCTCCCCCAAAGTCAATGAGTATTGTGGCAGAGCAGCCCCCGCGGTGGAGTCGGCCAGGGCAGCGCTTTCCTAAAATATGACCAGGGGTGCTTGGATGCGTCGGCAGCATGATGAAGGCTTAAAATACTGGTTCGCACCCCGAGAGAACGAAAAGCCATTCACCGAATCGGAGCGGGCCCAGAGATGGCGCCTGTCGCTGGCCTCTCTACTCTTCATCACCGTCCTGCTCTCTGATCACTTGTGGTTCTGCGCGGAGGCCAAATTAACGCGGACCCGGGACAAGCGTTGGGACGAGGGGCTTGCAGTCACGGACATGGGCGAATACTCCCTACTTTACCCTAAAATGACACCCCACCCCTACCGACTCGCCGGAGAGCCCACAAACACTATTTTTCTAGAGAATTCTACCAAACCTCTGCGGCGGATGGACACCTGTCGCCCGGACAGTGTGTCCAAAGACTGCTATACTTTCACGGACGCCAAGACCGTGTGCCGGGGCCTCTCCAACACAGGGGACAACGGAACACAGTTTGCCTACGTAAATCTGAGCGATTTGTACCTTTCTTTTTGTAATTCCTACTCACTTTTGGATTTGTTTAACGGGTTTACGAGTGTGAACAATACAAATTGCACGAGCCTGGACGAGCAGGGATGCGCTGAGTGTGTGGAGGCTTTCCAGCTGCTGGACCAGCAGGCAGAGGACAACTATAAAGAGTTTGAGACCCTCATCACAAAATACGAGACGGATGTGTACTCCGTCAGGACCTGCATGGAGGAATGCAAGGTAGGACTAACTCTGGAGGTCACCTACACGCACACACGTGAGCACTGGGTGCCCTGGCATGGATGCGCACAAGGTTGTTATGGCAACCGTAGGCACATCTGTCAGCTTGATAGTATTTATTTACCAGACTCTAACCCACTGCATTCTTTGACTTTGCAGCCCCACTGTAAAATAAACCGACAAATCATACAGTCATACAGCTACAGAGTACGTGTAAAAGTATCCATAAGCATGAAGGGGTGTGCCATAAAAGTAATTTCTTTGTTGATCATTTGAATGTTGTGTTGCTGACAGCAGATCTTAGCTTGTCAATGCCACAAAGGGCAGTGATTGCTAAAATAGATTGACCAATGTTTATTTCACTGAATGCAGTCTAGAGCAACAGTCTGATGTGAATGGATGAACAGTGTGATGTAACAAGCAAATCATGGATCAAGCTCAACCATCCAGAATACAGACAACTTGCTTTTCCATCTTCTGTTCTAACAGCTAAAGGGGTCATGCCTCTGCCAATATTTAAATGAAAGCCACACCACTGGACCATCCCATCCCCCTCTCCGTGTTTTCTAAAGCTAATCTTCCTTTACTGCTTTGTGAGTGTAGAGCTGACATTTGGCATTTGGAGAGAGAGGAGCAGCTCCCCCTCAGTGACACTATTAGACAATTGCTGAGTACTCTATTTAGTTACAACACACTGGTGATTCATGCTACTAATTTAGGCTTTTGTATTGTCCCCAGCTTGCTTGTTGTGGCAAGAAACACAGTGGTCTAGTGACTCTTCTAACAATAAATCCAGACTATAACCATATAAGCTTGAAATAATGGAACATTTCAATGGCTGACACATAAAGGAAATTGCATGTAAGTAAAATCCTGACATCAAAATGAGGTATGCATTTGTAAACAGCTATTTTCCAACATCATAACACCACTTTGCACTCTGCGTCCTGATGCATTATACATGTATGTGTTATTTGTTGTGCAGTGGACTGTGGCAGTGGTCCGATTGCTTGTGTGTAGCTGTCCATGGTGCTGAAAATACACAGTGCAATTGACTGCTTTTCTAGGCAGCCACCGTGGTGAACTTTGGTTGTAAAATCTTTAAGGGTGAGGTTGTGGTTTTTTGACACAGTGGTTTAGTAGAGAGGAGGAACTGTGGTTGGGATTAGCAGATGAACAGAATGTGCCTTGTAGCATAACAATAGCCCCAAAAGCATGCTAATGGACACAGTGGACAGGTCGGAAAAAGCCCTTTTGGTGTTTTTGTTTCTTGCAGTTGATGTTGAGCAAGGTCAGATATGTTGTGACTGTTGCTTATTTGTGAGATGCTTGCCATGAGCATGAATTGTAAGTAAATGTTGATTTCCTTAGCTCTCAATGATAGCAGACTTCCACTCTAGGCTAATGTAATAAGACAAGCAAGGCCATCACAGCCTCTTAGCCCCCTTTAGCCAAATCTGAATTGCTAATCTGCTTGAATGTTGGAATGACCTTTGCGGAGACACAGTACCCTGAGCCTACATCATCAAACCACTGTCCCTTAAGAAAGCTCTCAGCTGGACAATAAAAAGAAATGAGACATTTTGAAATGATAATTATTACTCCTTTCTCTGATACGTATTAGCGATAATTTTATTATTTTGTCAGAAAGATTTTGGAATATTGCTTTATAACTACAGTATACTACAGTGATCTGGGTTATCAAGGTAATTTATTTTTGAGTAATGCAACATTTTTATGTATTCATTTCATTTCATATTATTAATTAAGAAGCAGTTTAGATAGATTTGGATAGTTCAGTTTCAGATATTCATAGATGCTTTACAGAACAAATATTAAAACAGTCAAAAGAGCAATAAACAAATAATACAGGAAAGATAAAAACAGTGAGTCATAGTATGGATGTATGGTAGGGACTCCTGTGATTTGTTTTTCTGTCCGTAACAAGGAACAGACTTAGAGTATAAACTGTATAAGTATATACAATACAAACAAGTATCACATTGTATTGTAGAATGAATATGTGGTTCGAAGCTTGTTTTTTCTTTTTATGTCTCTTGAGCACAATAATTTAATAGCACTTGTCCATAATACACTACACAATCACATAAATACAGCCCTATTGTATGTTTTGATGATAGCATTTTATTTGACCAGAAAGCCACTTATATTTAAATGCCTTTGTATTGGCCTTTTGGTTATAGCTGAATGAATTTGTTATGTAATTTCAATAGTCAATAATTTTAATTTGGTCATAATACAAAACACAAAGTAAGGCCCACAAAGGCCTAATAATACAATATATAAAAATATGATTCATATTTAAATCCTGCTAGTTGTCTTCCTGTCACACTCACAGCACACCAAGCCCCATGTGCAGTGTTTCCAGCAGGTCCAGACCTGACTGTCCCTTCCGGTGTAATTCAATTTACACTCCCATAATTCCCTGCTTCTCTGGTGGCTGTGTCTCTAGGGCTCCTGGCTTCCAACATGTTGATCATGTGCTTGCTGCCCCGATTTGTCACTGTCCACTGCCTGGTATTTCACTTCCTCTTTGCCTCCTCTTCTCCTCTGTCCTCGCCTCTGTCTTCTCCTGTTTTCTCCTCCATCTGGGTCTATCTGTGTCTTGTATTGGCTGTCACCTCCCTCCACCTCCCCATACTTCCCTTCAGGAGTCTTGAAAAGGCGTGGGTGTGCGCTTCGCTTTTCCAGCTGGTCTGATAGATACCGATCTAGGTTATGGTCTGTTTTTTCCCTTTCAATTACTGACTTGTCCACTGAGAGCTTCTTCTTTTGCTCCTTAGTTTATTCAATCATCCTTTCTCCTCCAAGACTATAGGGCTGTGCAATACAGTAGATTGCAAGTGCCAATGTTCTGGTTGAAAATGGTGGTAAACCAGTTGTTTGGTTTTGGATCTGTCCTTGTTTTAGTCCTTTGGACCGATTTCAGCATAACCCTGGCTGCTTGGGTGTATATGTGTAGTTCTAGTTTATTTCTTCTTAGTTAAACCTCAAACTTTATTTTATTTTATTTAATTTACACAAGTCTATAAATCCTTTTAAGGGCCTATATTGCGCTATTTTCTTACCTATGTTATGTTGTTTCTTCATCACAAACATACCTGGAATTATGTTTTGTTTCCTTCACACATGTTTATCATATAAACCCTGCATATTTAGGCTGAGTTCTCCTCTAATACGGAAAACACTTTAACTTGTGATGTGATGTGGTAATAGGGGAAGTGCTCCACTGTGTTTTTTGTAATTTCATAGACCTCCACTAGAATCATTTGGATGAGTTCAGTCCTGGAATTGCCAATCTCTACTGAACAAAAGGTAAAAGGTAGCTGTTAACATGAAAACTACCACTTCATGACATCACAAGGTGGAACAGAGCATTTTGAGCTTTGGAAATGAAGACAGAATAATAATAAAGGATTACTCAAACAAAACATAACTCTGTTTATATTTTTTTGAGGAGGTAACAATATTGTAACTTAACTTACAGCTCACAAGAATACATTTGCATTATATAGGATCTTTAACAGTCATGTGCCCAAACTAATCATGCCATTCTTATGGAGTTCAATATAGTATGGCTGCATATTGCAACGCAGTAGCTTGACTCACCAGCCAACCTTTCTGTCTTTTCTGTCAACATCTGTGTAATTATGTGACATACAGTATATGGAAGTGAGATTAAAAGCAACATTATGTCTGAGACTTAACAGCAAGTCTGAGTTAACGAAGCATGGAAGGATCATATAAACCAGCACTGATTAGATTAGGCTGACCAATATTTGCACTAGAGCTGAAGAATCAACAGATAGATGCCCCCATTCATGCTGGTGTGAGGGGCCTCTGACAGTATAGACTAATACAGGTTTAATACTGTACATTATGTTTGGCTTGGATCATTTGTTCCATTATTATCTCATTTCATTATTTCATTTCATTATTACTCTGGAAGTTACAGTTGAAGCACAAATAGCAAGAGCTTGTTTTTGGTTTTGTTTTAAGATAAGGAAGATAAATACCAGAAAATGAAGTAACTTAACATTATTTTGTGGACGCTACAACACTTCTAATAGGTTCACATTGTAGAGGGTTAGGGTTAGGGTTAGGATTTGTTGATGCCATTAGTGGAGGGAAAATGCTTCTATATAACTCTATGGGAGACTCACTGTGATTGAAAAAAAAAAAAAAAAAATCATCTGCGTTCCTCAAATGTTGAACCCTCTCATTATTTCTCGCAGATTGCCATATTAATCTTAGGTTTTAAAGTTTAACTCACAACAATCATGTGTTGAATAATGGCACCACTTTCTGAAGTTATTATGAGAAAATAATTTACCTTTTGTTTTAAATATGCTGACAGAGTGCACAGTGTCTGTTTCATGTGGATAGGCCCAATGATTACAGCAATATACAAAGCATCTGCATTTTGACAGTTAAAAGGCCACTTAAAATAGATGGTTCCCACTTTAGGTTTGACTATAAATCTTTACTAGTGCGAGATTAGGCTTGTCCGATTGTGATGATCTCGAGTGTTTGTGCAGACCATTACTGTCAGTGTACTAGTAGTATAATATTTAATACATTACTGTAAATGTAATGTAAGCAAAACCAGACAGAACTGAAGAGTTTTTTGTACAATCTCCTGCTGTTGTATCCATTCTGTGTCTGACTGCAGTAAACCTGTTCAAACATAACATAAATAATTTCCGCTTTGACACCTGACGTCCAGATTGTTCCATTATCATCACTGACAGACCCCTCTTCTCTGGACATCTTGCTGCTCTCTGCTTGAAATTCAATTAGGGCTCTGTGTTGCTTCTGTGGCCAGCTCAAATACAGCCAGGGAAACCCCCCTTCACATGAGCAGCCTGTGTTTGTCTCTATCCAGTCCAGAGATAAGCCAATGTGTGTGTTCCAACAACCAACGTACACCAGCCGGGCGCTGTCCCTGGAAACGCACCACAACAATAGGACCATGCTGT